CGTGGGAGCCATGCGCCGCCGTCTGTAATGTCAGCGGAACAGGAGAAGGATCCCATCGCGCTGAAGAGATCCCGAGGTACAGCGGGCCTGGGGGGCGGGAGCTGGGCTGCCCCCCTGGGGGCACTGGAGGGACAGCCGGGGGTCCTGGGCCTAACTCCGCCGAGGAGACATTGCATCCTCCCGCTCGCAGTCAGCCAGAGCGTCCCCCCCCCGTCGCCGCCCTCTGCCTGCCGCGGGGAGCCGGAGGCAGCGCCTGCATTCCAGGCGTCTGGACTGCCCCTGCTGCATTCGGGCGGGCAGGGCGCTGCTCCAGGCGCGGGGTGGACGCTTGCCCCAGCTCGTGCTACGCCCCCTGGGGCTGGAGTGTGAGCTCTGTGGCTGTGGACTTGGTGGGCCGCTTGACGCGTGATGTTGCGATCTGTTTTGTGCGTTGCTCTGGCGCGTTGGTCCGCCTCGGATAGCAGCTCTGCTCATCTGCATTTCCTTGAGCGCCGAGGGAAGGCTGCACGATTAGGCCCCGATCCCGAGAACTGATCTGCAACGGTGGACCCTGCAGTGGATCGGTTTACAGGAACGGAGCCTCAAAGTACAAAAGTTAAGGGGAAAGGATACGGGAGCGTTGTTAACTAGCCCATGTGACACACGTAGTATTTCTAGTCATTTTCTGGATGTGCAATATATTAGTATGCATTGTTAAGTGTGTATAGTACAGCGCATAGGCTGCTCCATGTGCCCGTGGTCAGGCCCCTGCACAGAGAATACATTGTATTTCCAAACTTTGCGTGTTCACTTTCTCACCGTTACTACTAAACTAATCTTTGTTGTGTTTTTTTAAAATTTGTTGGAAAAGAGAAGAAATATTACCTTATGCTAATAATGGAAGTATTTGTATGGATCTGGTGACGTTTTTGAAGCTCACAGCTCATTGAAATAACTTAAAAAACAACAAATAGTCCTGCAGCACCTTAGAGACTAACAAAAATTGTAAATGGTATCATGAGCTTTTGTGGGCACAATCCACTTGCTCATGATATCATTTCTATTTTTTGTTAGTCTCTAAGGTTCTGCAGGACTGTTTGTTATTTTTAAAGGTTTTTTTTCGTTACAGACTAACACCACTACCCCTCTGAAACCTCATTGAAATGTATTGGGAAAGTACATCCAGCCACTTCTGCCTAATTGCTGCTGCTGCTGCTGTTTGGTTGGAGATCATTTCTTGCTTACCAGAGCAGCAACACATCTTTTTGCATAGTTATGGATGTATCTTTACAATGGCAAAAGACAGACATTTGTTCTGGAATGAAATACTGGAATGTTCAGCATGTCCCCGAAAGGACTGAAAATTGTGGTGAAATAAGGTCAGGAATTCATTGCTTCTTTTCCCTTTACCTCTGGAATTTTTCTACTGTTCTTGATGTTAGCCTTTTTGGGAGGTGGGGGGAGGACAAGGATTTTGCTGTGTGTATTTCACACAAACTTTTACAATTCACTTTTTTCAGTTCTAGCAACACCAGAAGAGCAGTAGATTGTCACAGAAAGATTGGGATTCCTTAAACTAATTTAAATAATAGGTTCTAATCCTGCAAACCCTGAAGTACACACATAGCTTTATACATATGAGTAGCTAATTGACTTCAGTAGGATACTGCTGAAGGGCATAAAGTTACATAGTTGCATAAATCATTGCCAGATTCGGGCCACAGCAGATGCTCATTGAACCAGTACCATTTCACCCCTGTTTATATTCTTCTGGTTGGTTATTTCTTAATACAAAAAACCCACACCCATACCTAGCTAAGGTACATCTTACCCATCAAGGGGTTTGTCCCCAAAGACTTATTTGTGCTTTAATTCACACAGTGTAAAACACTTGACTGTGCTTACTATGTAAAGCACAAGCAGTAAAATCTTTGTAGAATCAAAGCTTATTTATTTACATAGAGTTTTAAGCTTCACCTGCCTTGACAAATGGGTGAACTAATTTTTTTTTTCAAAATGTTGAGAGAAGGAGGTAGCTTTCACATGTAACGAGCATATAAAGTCTAAGCCTTTTTTGGGGCGGGTGGGAATAGAAAACTGTGAGTGTCTTTGAACAGAGGATTGTGTTGAAACCATTTTGCAACCTTAACTCCAGTATGTTGCAAAGTATCAAAATGTTCAGTGTATTGTTTAATGAAAAGACTGGGTGGTAGATACAAAATGTGATTTTTCTGGTTAGTTTATTTTGACTAATTGATAATGACCTTTGTTCACTTTCCTTAGTGGTACATTAGGATTAACATTAATTTTCCTTTTATATATACATTAAATTATTTATAAAATCCAAGAGGAAAAACACATACATTCATAGGCCTAACTTTCATTATTGGCCTCACACAGAGAAAGGTGAGAGCTGTATCAAGCAGTCTTGCAAATTAATAAGCATGCAAGTAGCTTTACTTATGTGAGTAGCTCCATTGACTTCTTTGGGACTGCTCACATGAGAGAGGTTGCTCATGTACATGTGTGTCTGTGAGATCAGATCTTTGAGCATGAGTTTTTATTTAACAAACCTCACAGAGCTTTATGAAGTATTTTGAACTGCTACAGTAAGCTGAGCATTCTCTGGTCACATACTTAACACTCTTCTCCTTGTTTTCAGCTGCTGAATTTCAGTAAAAGAGCTAAAATACATTAAATGCTTTCCAGATATTTTTCCATATCCACATTTGCTCTTGTTGACACGAGAATGGGATGTGAACGTGAATGGGAGAATTGTTAGCGTAATTGTGAATGGAAGAGAAGGTGTCAGAGACAATTTCTGTTAAATTGGGATATATTGGTAAAAATGTTTGAGAACACCTGCTTGACGGAAAACGGAAAAGTTTGAGGAGATAGCTTTATAGTTTATCAAGCTATGATATTTTTGTCTGGAATATTTCTAATGATCCTTTCTTCCTGCAGAATTTGTATTGGAATATTTGGTATTTATAATCTATAGGTGGCTATACTTTATATAGCACCATAAGGGGACAGGGCATTTTACATTATAAACTGTGAAAATTGGACTTCTCCCTGAGTCCCAAAGAATTCTTCTCACTACAAATTTGTTGTGATCTGATGTGGTATGTTAACACTTGAACAAGATAAAAGTTTTCTCCAGCCTGATATTTAATAGGATTTTAATTTACCAGTTTACTTCCAGTTAAAAGGATTTGAGGCAGTCTTCCTCATGTGTAGTAGAACACTTGTCTTCCTTGTGTGTAGTGAAATATTTTACAAATTGTAAATTATATATAATACACACGCAATATGAAATATGAGATGGGATTTTAACTTTGACAGCCAGAGCCAAGAGGAAGTTATTAAAGCAGATACAGAACAGGATTCCTCCATGAGCTGGAAGCAATTTTCCTGAAATCCGTGTTCTAAAGCAGTATGAGTTACCTGAATGGAAATTGTCCTAATGGTGCTTGCTGCCCTCCTAGTGAGGAGACTAAGATGAATTCCCTACTGACTGGCAAAATAGTAACTTTGAAGCTAAGGAATATATTACAAAATTGAAATAACTGGGGGTATTTTAACTGGTACTCACTGGGCCCTAGTCTCCTTTGTGTGGAAACAGCTTTCTGACACTGTGTGTGCAAAGCAGCTGTAAAGCTGGTTCAGCTGCTTGCTGGAGAATTCTGAGTGACAGAGTTGTTGTAATGGTTCCTACAGTGTACCTCTTCCTGGCATAGGGAGCATGTGTGGGGAGAAAGGTGTATTCATATGCCCCAGTAAAACACAATTACCTTCAGATTACTCTTCTAATTTGTGCTAGAGACCTGAATTGGCATGAGAACAGACCATGACTGAGATGGGTAAGGCACAATTTGGACTAAGTCCTCCTTAGCTGGGCTCAAGGATCAGAGCCTTTATTGCTATGGATCAGATTTTCAAATACTTTTAAATCCTTCAGTGGCAGATGAGCAGCTAGTGGGACTTTCAAAAGCACCTAAACAGAAGACAATGGGAATTAGGCAGTTAAGCAGCACTACAGCCTATCTGTAGATACCTAATTGTCTTTTAAAATTTGACCCTGTGTACCTAGAGGAGTTTTTCATTCAGTAATAAAATTTTTTTCAGTGCAGCAAAATATTTGTATTTTGCTGGAGTTTACATTTATATCATGGTAAAGTTTTAATGTGAATTTTAAATACAGGGCAACATCATACTTTTCTAAACAAAAATCGAATGATAGTACAAATCTGAGTTCAGTTTACATTGTAGGTAGCAGCAAAGAATCATTGCTTATCATAGTGTTTTAGAAAAAATGTAGACGGGTTAGTATCATAGAATCATAGGACTGGAAGGGACCTCGAGAGGTCATCGAGTCCAGCCCCCCGCCCTCAAGGCAGGATCAAGCTCCGTCTACACCATCCCTGACAGATGTCTATCTAACCTGTTCTTAAATATCTCCAGAGAGGGAGATTCCACCACCTCCCTTGGCAATTTATTCCAATATTTGACCACCCTGACAGTTAGGAATGTTTTCCTAATGTCCAATCTAAACCTCCCCTGCTGCACTTTAAGCCCATTACTCCTTGTCCTGTCCTCAGAAACCAAGAGAAACAAATTTTCTCCTTCCTCCTTGTGACACCCTTTTAGATATTTGAAAACCACTATCATGTCCCCCCTTAATCTTCGTTTTTCCAAACTAAACAAGCCCAGTTCATGAAGCCTGGCTTCATAGGTCATGCTCTCTAGACCTTTAATCATTCTTGTCGCTCTTCTCTGTACCCTTTCCAATTTCTCCACATCTTTCTTGAAATGTGGCGCCCAGAACTGGACACAGTACTCCAGCTGAGGCCTAACTAGCGCAGAGTAGAGCGGCAGAATGACTTCACGAGTTTTGCTTACAACACACCTGTTAATACAACCTAGAATCATATTTGCTTTTTTTGCAACAGCATCACACTGTTGACTCATATTCAACTTGTGGTCCACTATGACCCCTAGATCCCTTTCCGCCATGCTCCTTCCTAGACAGTCGCTTCCCATCTTGTATGTATGGAACTGATTGTTCCTTCCTAAGTGGAGCACTTTGCATTTCTCTTTATTAAACCTCATCCTGTTTACCTCCGACCATTTCTCTAACTTGCTAAGGTCATTTTGAATTATGTCCCTATCCTCCAAAGAAGTCGCAACCCCACCCAGTTTGGTATCATCTGCAAACTTAATAAGAGTACTCTCTATCCCAATATCTACATCATTGATGAAGATATTGAACAGTACGGGTCCCAAAACAGACCCTTGAGGAACTCCACTTGTTATCCCTTTCCAGCAGGATTTAGAACCGTTAACAACAACTCTCTGACTACGGTTATCCAGCCAATTATGCACCCACCTTATCGTGGCCCTATCTAAGTTATATTTGCCTAGTTTATCAATAAGAATATCATGCGAGACCGTATCAAATGCCTTACTAAAGTCTAGGTATATGACATCCACCGCTTCTCCCTTATCCACAAGGCTCGTTATCCTATCAAAGAAAGCTATCAGATTAGTTTGGCATGACTTGTTCTTCACAAACCCATGCTGGCTATTCCCTATCACTTTATTACCTTCCAAGTGTTTGCATATGATTTCCTTAATTACCTGCTCCATTATCTTCCCTGGGACAGACGTTAAACTGACCGGTCTATAATTTCCTGGGTTGTTCTTATTCCCCTTTTTATAGATGGGCACAATATTTGCCCTTTTCCAGTCTTCTGGAATCTCCCCTGTCTGCCATGATTTTTCAAAGATCATAGCTAAAGGCTCAGATACCTCCTCTATCAGCTCCTTGAGTATCCTGGGATGCATTTCATCAGGACCTGGTGACTTGCTGACATCTAACTTTCCTAAGTGATTTTTAACTTGTTCTTTGTGTATCCTATCTTCTAAACTTACCCTCTCTCTGCTTGTATTCACTACGTTAGGCACACCTCCAGACTTCTCGGTGAAGACCGAAACAAAGAAGTCATTGAGCATCTCCGCCATTTCCAAGTTCCCTGTTACTGCTTCTCCCTCCTCACTAAGCAGTGGGCCTACCCTGTCCTTGGTCTTCCTCTTGCTTTTAATGTATTTATAAAAGGTCTTCTTGTTTCCCTTTATGCCTGTAGCTAGTTTGATCTCATTTTGTGCCTTTGCCTTTCTAATCTTGCCCCTGCATTCCCGTGTTGCTTGCCTATATTCATCCTTTGTTAGTTGTCCTAGTTTCCATTTTTTATATGACTCCTTTTTTATTTTGAGATCATGCAAGATCTCCTTGTTAAGCCAAGCTGGTCTTTTGCCATATTTTCTATCTTTCCTACACAGCGGAATTGTTTGCTTTTGGGCCCTTAACAACGTCCCTCTTTACACAAAAGCAGCTGCTTTTGCAGAAAAACTTCACAGTCTAGACACAGCCTATCTGTATTGATGATTCTACCAGGTTAAAATCTGTCACCTTTGTACTGTCAGTCCATAGCTTTTCAAAGACTCAGAGTTTGGCTTAAGGATACTTTTCATCCCCAAAATAAATTAAAAATTTCTACCTCTACTATAATGGGGCATTTATCACTCAGATCTCCTCTATCCATCTACAGCTTTACAAGGGATTAAAAAAAAGTCATTTACAGGATCCTTTGGAACTTCAGGTGTCTGTCACTTTCTGATGAAAGGTATAGCAGAACTTCAAATGAAGCATTGGATTTTCTTTCTGTTAGTTCAAGTGAAATAAGTGGCTCAAGAAGATAACCATCCCTTGGAAACTGTGATTGTACCAAAATACCTTTTTCTTAAACTGCTACATAAGGCGATATGGTCCTTGCAAAGAATCTCCTCGTGTGGCTCATTGATTATAATGGGATTTTTCTGGGGATGACCTTTTGCATAATTAAGACTTAAATTTATGGGAATTTGGAACTGGCAAGCTGAGAGCCTTGTCTCAACTGCATGCCAGGTTTCCAGGGATTTACATTAATAGAATGCCAGATTTTCATTCATAGACTTGTTTCTGCTTGCCCTTTCCTTAACCACAGACTCTAAATGCATTGGGAGTCCCAGGTTGATGAACATCAAATCTATGTATGTTAAGTGGGAGATGAATCTTAGACAGTTTCTTTTTGATGAGAAAAGAAATCTTAAGCACCAAGTTCTTGATTCAAAACCTAATTAAATTAATGGAAATCTTTCCACTGACTTTAATGGGCTTTGAATCAGGCCTCAATGTTTTAATGGAAATGGACTCTTGTGGTTGTGTTACAGTGCTCTGTACCTCCAGGTGTGTTCATTGTGTAGCCTCTGTAATTTTAAGCTAGAATTAGTGATACTTCAGTGTTTCTCATTGCCTTTTCTTGGCATGACAAAGGCACACATGAATATAAAATATTTTTAGAAACAAATGCAGAATTATATTTATTGAAATTTTGTAGGTGGTGACAGTGGATTGGATGGGTTAGGAGGACCAGGAGTTCAACTTGGAAGCCCAGATAAGAAAAAGCGCAAGTCAAATACACAGGTAAATTGCTTCTGGTGTTCTTGATTTTTTTTCTTTAAATAAATAATGCATTCAGATGTTGCTGACTAATATGACTATTTTTTTCATCTAGAAATATCAATTCTTTATCATGGACATAGATTAGTAGCTTTATAATTAAGTGCTTAGGTGAAATCTTAGATCACAGTCCATTATCTATACTGGTTACTAGTAATTCCTATTCAAGTTCTTTTAATATCAGGAGATTCCCCTTGCAGGATACAAATGGAATATAAAGTCTCTGGTAAAGCTGCATAGAATGAACAAGCCGTTCATGCAGTCATGTGGACATGGTTCAGAGGAACAGAATTTAAATCCCAGCCTTCATCTGTTTGGTGTGAATCTTCAGGGTATGAGTGCTAGCTGCTGCCTTCCCTACATATGAAGATTTTTGGAGTAATGGATCCATGCAGTTCGTGAACCCATTAGCCACACCTTTAGTGCTTTCCTGTGCAGGGAGCTATGAGGCACACTCAGTATGTTGAATTTACACTGTCTGGCTCTTCTGTCCACTTGAAATGTATGGTTTGTTTCCTGAAATAGGACTTGGAGAGAGTGTGTGGGAAGACTTAGAATTTGGATGCTAATGTAAAACAGCAATATTGTTCATCACTTATAAAATAGAATTGTCCTCTTCTGTGTCCTCTTAGCTGTGTATCTCCAAATATCTGTTCTTAGCTACTTAATGGCAAATAATTAAAATAATCTTATTGATATAGGACCAGTTACCACATTATGATGTGCATGCCCAATTCCCATTGACTTATGTGTCTGTTACTTTTTCTTGTTCACCAACTAGTGGTGAAAACTGCTATTGGAGGCATATACAGTTATTTTCAGGCTTTTGGATCTCTTGGTTGTCTCTACTAATGAAGCTTTCCTTTCATAGCAGAATGACAATTACTATAATGGTGCTGAAGATCAGATTCCTTCCCTTTTGTTACCTTTAATGAGGATGGCAGGGCAACAGAAATCTGGAAAATCATTTTCCCTAGCTTTGGCTACTAAATAGTTAGGGTCAAATTCTGTGCAAACTCTGCATAAGGCAGCTTTCTGGGGGCGAGCAGGCCAGAACTCTTGCTCCCAAACTAGACCAGAACAGGAGTGAATTACAAAGTCACCTTCCACAGTCATTTATGCAGCCTCCCTGTATCTGCTAAACCCACCATTGCTGTGGGGATTTAGATTGTAATTTGTGGGCCTGGTGGCCTTGTTCTCAGCTCATCCACCGTCCTATAAAGTGCTGTTGTGGAGCAGATCTCCCCGGTTTACAGAAAATCGAGAATCCCTCTGAGCAGACTGTCTCCTACCTGTACACCTTGTAGCACAGATACAATAATATTGCTGTAGCCTCCTCAAAAATAGGATGGGGCAAAAGAAAGATTTGCCCTTTCATTTAGCAGATTTAACCTGAGATGAAACTAAGAAAAATTTAAATGGTATTTAAACATGAGCTTTTATGTTTAAATTATGTAATTATTGGGGGAATCCTGCTTTTCTTAAGTAAAAGAAGGAAACAAAACCACACAGTGAACCTTTATAGCAATATGTTGTACTATGTGCAGTTTTTAAAAATAGGGAAATTAGTCTAAATCACTTTAATAGCATCATGAATTTTATTAAATAGCTCTTAAGACAAACTCAGAAAAATACTTTATTATAGCCACAGACCTCAGATGGTTTCACTACAAGATCTGTATACGAGACAGCGGCAGGATTAAACTCCTAATAAAAAGGTGAAAAAAAACAAAGGCAACATTAGGCCTATATACCTGCAAAGGGATCTACTTTTCTGGGGGCTGCCACATCACAAAAACCACTACCATAACTGGTGCTCATATTGGCAGTCATGCAAGAAAGGTCAAGGAGGAATGAACCTGCAGCCTGAACTGTTTTTTGTTTGTTTGTTTGTTTGTTTGTTCTTTGTTGGTTTTTTTTTCCCTTTCTTTCTGATGAGATTTAAGGCTCACTGGCAGGGTAATGTGGGGAAGCTTTCACTAATTGCTGCTGCCCATGTGGCACCTGATGGAATAAACAAGACTTTGGTGCTACCAATCCAGCTTCTTTATGGTTGAAAGCCCATGTGTATTTGTAAAGTTTACAATAATGCTAATTTAAATGTTATATTCTAAATATTTTCAGGGATCTTCCTTTCCTCCTCCATCTGAATATGCTCCACCGTCAAATCCAAGCTCAGCCCACCTTGTAGCTGCTAATCCATTTGATGATAACTATAATACTGTTTCTTATAAACCCCTACCTTCAGGAAATCCTTATTTTAGCAGTCCTGGTTATCCTGGTTTTGGAGGCTATAACACTTTCAGAATGCCACCTCACATGCTGCCCAGAATGTCCTCTCCATATGGTGGTTCTTACACCCTCAGAAACCAACCACATCCACTTCCTCAGAACCCTGTGGGAATGGGTTTTAATCGACCTCATGCTTTCAACTTTGGTCCACACGATAACACAGGTTTTGGGAATCACCCATCTTATAATAGTGGTCAAATGAGTCAAAATGTCAATATACCCAGTCAGCACTTCAGACCAAATCCTGGTGAGAACTTTGGTCACATTCCTCCACAAAATACTAATCAAATACCGCACCCTGACATGCCTTCTAATTTTGGACCTGGAAGCAATCCAAATTTTAATTCCCAGTTAGAGTCAAACCACTCTTTTGTTCCACCACCAAACACCTACAATCAAACAAAGCCATCAGCACAGAAGCAAGACTTCGGACAAGGTGCAAGCAAAACTTCCAACCAGAATACCACAACACATCAGCATCACCACAGAACAGATGACATCATGAACCAAGGTAGTGCCGACTTAAAAAGTGTTAATCGAAACAGTGTAGTAAATCAAGAGAGCAACCATTCTAATAATGCAGATAACACCAACAGTCATGCTAATGGGACTCAGAACAAGTCCCGTCAGCCTAGAGGTACAGCTGAAGGATGCAGCTCTGAAAAGAGTAGCAAACCATCTCTCCATCCCAGTCGTCATGGTCATTCATCCTCTGAGCCAGTCTATCCGTGTGGAATTTGTACACATGAAGTTAATGATGACCAGGATGCCATCTTGTGTGAAGCTTCTTGTCAAAAATGGTTTCATCGGATCTGTACAGGTATGACTGAGTCTGCTTATGGTCTCCTCACTGCAGAAGCATCTGCAGTATGGGGATGTGATACTTGCATGGCTGAAAAGGATGTCCAGTTGATGCGTACTAGGGAGACAGCAGGGCCACCTGCATTGAATACTGATGGATAATAACATCTATTGATGCAGTATTGAAATGCATACTACAGAAGTATAGCTGTTAATGGTGTACTTCATTTTCTATAGACAATCAAGTTTTTTCTTTTTTTCTTTTCTTTTGGTACTTTATCTTCACTAATGAAATTCCATATGTTTTTCTTTGGTTTATCTCTGTGAGTATTTAAACTTTGATCAGAAACACAGTGTTTGATAATCCAAAACATGACTGGTACTTGTTTGATAACAAGCAAGTTTTGCATTCAAATTAATTTCTGGCATCAATAATTCCAGAACATATGCCATGATGAATACAGGCTGCAGCTAGTGCTGAACCTTGATGGTACTATACATTGGAAGCATTAGTTATTGTAATGTTCTATGAATGTCCATTTTTATTTTGAGGGAGATGGAGGAAGTGGCATAGAAAGAGGAGTACTAATGAACTTTATTTTAAGACGAACACTAAGGATTTAGATATTTTTTCTTTTTCATATGAAACATCATTGTGTTTAATTGTTTTAGTATTTGTGATGTTTACACATCAAAATACGGAGGCAAATATTTAAAAGCCGAAAACTGTAGTTTTGTGTTATTAAAATTCAGTATTTTAATAAAATATGTCATAGCATTACATTTAAAAACATTAAAATGACATCAAGCACTCAGATGTTAGGGCAGGCATGTCCAAAGTCCGGCCCGCGGGCCAATTGCGGCCCGTGTTCCGGTTTAATACGGCCCCACAGGTAATTTGGCAATATCTATCTTTTATGGCCCCCAACGAATCCATATGTATTGAGATGAATACATTATAAAATCTCAGTTAATGTCAGTTGGTCTAAATCAGTTATAAATATATTTGGACACAACATGTATACTTGGTGTTATGTTCCTGTTCATATTTTTTGAACTTAAAAGTTGACAGACAACCTTTATTACCAATAATATGTAATGTACTTTACAATGTTCCTGACATATATTTCAGCTTCCTGGATTTTTTTTTCATCTGGCCTTCAGATATGAAAGGCAGAGTGATTTAACACCTGTTTAGATTTGTCATCCATGTGACGAAATGAAAAGTATGCCGTTTGCAATAAACTTTGCATAAAATAGTTAATTTGCATTTAATTTTAATGGTTCAAAGAATGTCAGGCAAAATGGTCGGCCCTCACGCATGTTCACTTCATCAAATCTGGCCCTCTTTGAAAAAAGTTTGGACACCCCTGGTATATAGCATTCCTTTGTATCAGGGAAATGCTAGAATTTAGTTCTTATCACATGTTTCCTCCTAGGTGTCAGGGCACCATGGGCGGCTGGTGCAGCTCCCAAACCCCACCTATAGCCCCACCTCCTCTGCTGAGGTCCCACCCCCCACCATAGGGAGGGGAGGAAGCAGAGCAGCGTGCCGAGCATGTGCCTCCCCACCACGAGGAGGGGGGGAGAGGAGAGGAGAGGAGGCGAGTGCATGTACCTCTGTCTCCCCAGTCTGCAGAGCACCGGGGAGGGAGGAGGCTGTGCATGGCCCAGCTTTCCTGACCCCCGGAGCACTGGGGAGGTAAGAGGCCATGCAGCCCTTGTCCCTGAAGCACTGGGGAAGATGAGTGCTGGGGACAGCAACACTATGGGTATGTCTACACTACCCTGCTAGTTCGAACTAGCGGCTACACGCGGCACGGAGTCCGAACTAGCCGGCATTTAAAAATGGCACCGGCCGGCTTTCTGCA